AAACTAGAATATAAATAGTTTAGATGAAAGACTGATGATGAATATTTAAATTTATTAACCTCAAACCCATACATGATTGAACTACAAATATTCAGAAAGACTTGAACAGTTAATTACAGTTTTGGAAATCATTTTCGCACACTTTGGTGTGTACATGTGGAGTACCTGCAGATTTTACGAGGCTTGAGGTGACACTGGATTCCTACAGGCTCTTTAGCACTGTAGCAGCAGAGATCTGCATCTTTGTTACCGACATCACACTCCTCACCTTCCTCTATGATCTGGTTTCCACAGATGGGCTGATCACTGACTGGCCAAAATGAACAGACAAGCAGATAAACACACGAGCAGATGCACACATACAGATATAGCCTGAAGGCTGCAGCAACAAGTGCACAATGTAAACAGCACGCAGGACACTGATATTTCTTCCTCACCCGTGAAGCAGTCATCTTTCTTCAGCTTCAGGATGTTGCTAACGTGTTTGATGCTGCAGGGTGAGAATTTATCGTTGTTTTCACGCGCCCCGTCTGTGGCGTAAGGAAACATCAGGTACCTGCCTTTACCGCCATTGGAGCCGAGGTTGCCGCAGTTAGCGCCCTCATCGTGCTGAAACACAGACAAAACGCCAAGCATCTTCACTCGACTGTAAACAGAAGCAGCAGGCGGAAACGGATGATCAACCCAAGCTGAAGATATTTGCTTCCACCTCTTAAATATAGATCGAGGAATCAACTTCCTTCACTGATCACAGGAGCTTTTCCAGTCATGTCCATCAGCTGAAAGGACAGTTTTACTTTTAAGAGCAAAAAGACAAATCTTGAATCCCCTGTCCATCTAGTGATGTGTTCCACATGTGCAATAAAACTAGAGCTTCCTCTTTTTCTGGAGCTCATACTCTTAGGATGTCAAAGTCTCTGATGAATTATTGGGACTTGAAGTGAACATGCAAACATGCTGAGGGAAACGGCATTGATGTGGATATTTTTGCATATGTTTAAGATTAGGTTGAAAGACACTTGTGATTATACAGTCGTCACTTTATCTCTCACTATCTGCAGCTCTGGCTTTGCCAGGGCATCTGCAACACAGCAGATGTTGGAAGTCTTTCTTTCAGCATGCATAAAACTAACTTGAATTGTGTTTCCACTCTCATGCCTCAGTTTCTTTTGTGGGGGCTTCAGACTTTACACCAAACCTTGTATTCACTTCTAGTGTATACCAGAACTACGCTTTCTTTAAAGCTGAAAAACAGGAAGAAAAGCAAAGCTGTGTTCAATACCTCTGCAGAAATGTATGTAACAGCACTTCCTGTTTACTTTCTGAGCACCTGTAGCAGTCTACAGATGCTGTTTTCACAGACACGATGTGATTTTAGCTTAAACACAACCAAAACAAAGATAAATGTTTATACTAGAAAGCTTTTCCAATTCAGGCTATTTCCTTGTATTTTATGAGGTACTGAATG